CGTGTACGGCCGATGGATCCTTCAATAGTGGCTGCACCTCCTAAGTCTATTACCTAGCTATCTTTCTTGTTAAGCTCTTCTCTGGTACCTCCAAAAGAAAGAAGAGATCTCATTTATGGCTTTTTCAGCATCATAGGAAAAAAGAATGAATATAAATTTCCGTATGAATATCTCAACAGAGAGATTATAATGCAGAAATGCGGGGCAATGTTTATGTTTCTTCTTTTTATAACATATAACGCCCTTGATGCGGCTATATCTCCCACGTGTCGAAACACGACTTAGAGACATAACCGCATTGAAAGCAATGTCGCAAGTGAGCTAATCTTCACACAACCCAAATAATACATAAGGGAAAAAGATACATGATTGTCTTAAAATCGCCACTTCACACAAATACATGAATTACATCATCCAGATACACGCATGGTCCGACTATGGAACTAAAATAAAAGAAGACTACCCCAAATGCTACACAGATCTCCGATCGTCCCAACTGGGCTCCACTACTGATCAACTGAAAACGGAACAACATAGCGAACACAATCTTCATCGAGCTCCTCTTTGAGCTTGGTTGCATCACCTGCTAGTAATATGGGCACCTGCAAACTGGTTTTGGAAGTATCTGTGAGTCATGGGGACTCAGCAATCTCACACCCTCACGATCAAGACTATTTAAGCTTATAGGTAAGGTAAATGTATGATGTGGAGCTGCAGCAAATGACTAGCATATATGGTGGCTAACATACGCAAATGAGAGCGAGAAGAGAAGGAAAAAGCACGGTCGAGAATCTATGATCAAGAAGTGATCCTAGAACAACCTACGCCAAACATAACTCGAACACCGTGTTCACTTCCCGGACTCCGCCGAGAAGAGACCATCACGGTTACACACGCGGTTGATGTATTTTAATTAAGATAAACTTCAGGTTTTTTACAACCGGACATTAACAAATTTCCATCCTCCCATAACCGCGGGCACGGCTTTTGAAAGTTCAATCCCTGTAGGGGTGTCCCAACTTAGCCCATCACAAGCTCTCACGGTCAACGAAGGATATTCCTTCTCCCAAGACAATCCGATCAGACTCGGCATCCCGGTTACAAGACATTCTCGACAATGGTAAAACAAGTCCAGCAAAGTCGCCTGAATGTGCCGACAAATCCCGATAGGAGCTGCACATATCTCATTCTCATGGCACACTCAGATGAGACTAACTACGAGTAAAACCAACCCTCAAGTTTCCCCGAGGTGACCCCGCAGGCAGCTCAATTCGCATCAACACTCAGAGAAGCACTGGCCCGGGGGGGTTAAAATAAAGATGACCCTCGGGAGTGCGACTCCCAAGGGAAAAGTAGGTGGTGGTGAGGCAAATGGTAAAACCAAGGTTGGGCCTTGCTGGAGGAGTTTTATTCAAAGCCAACTGTCAAGGGGTTCCTATTATAACCCAACCGTGTAAGGAACGCAAAATCCGAGAACATAACACCAATATGACGGAAACTAGGGCGGCAAGAGTGGAACAAAACACCAGGCATAAGGCCGAGCCTTCCACCCTTTACCAAGTATATAGATGCATTAATTAAATAAGATATATTGTGATATCCGAACAAAATGTCCATGTTCCAACAAGGAACGAACTCCAATCTTCACCTGCAACTAATAACGCTATAAGAGGGGCTGAGCAAAGCGGTAACATAGCCAAACAATGGTTTGCTAGGACAAGGTGGGTTAGAGGCTCATGGCAATATGAGAGGCATGATAAGCAAGTGGTAGGTATCGTAGCATAGGCATAGCAAAAGAGCGAGCATCTAGCAAGCAAAGATAAAAGTGATTTCAAGGGTATGGTCATCTTGCCTGCAAAGTTCTCAGTGTTGCCCTGATCCTGATAAGCGTACTCAATGGGCTCCTCGATCATGTATTCGTCTCCCGGCTCTACCCAAGCAAGAACAACAAGCAAAAAAGAACACAATCAACCACGTGCAATGCTCAAGCAACATGATGCAAAACATGGGATGATATGCGGGATGCGATATGTGATGCATATGCATGATTTAGAAAGAAATGATTGAACCTGGACTCAACTTGGAAATCCAAAAGTGCCACTGGAAATGGGGGGTGATTTCAAATCGATATAAAGATCACCGGAATCGGATGCACGGTTTGGAAATGGCAAGCAAAATAAATATGACACCGGTCTGCGATTAACAACAAGTAGCCTTCTAAATGCATCAAGAACAACATGCTACAGCACTCAAACATGGCAACAAAATACATGTCAGGGATCCACTCATGATGCTTGACAAAAGATGAACACTGAGCTACGGCTAATTCAATCAATAGCAGATTCAAACAAGCATGACAAAAGTGCAAACGATAACAGGTTACAGACTTGGTGAAATTAACAGCATGTCAGGAATTTATCATCAGGAAGCAATCTTTAGAGCATGAAAAGTACATGCTACAAAAACATATTATGTCAAATCAAGGCATGGCATGAAGCTATGCAAAGCATATAACAAAAGTCCCTTAGTGACCATGAGCCAAAAGGGATCAGAAAATACAATTGCAAGCATGTGAACATAGCAAAAATATAAACAGATTCAGACTTAGTGAAAAACTGGAGCATGGCAAAACAGATAACGAGTAGGCATATTTATGAGCTCGATGTACACACTATAAGACATGGAATCATAATCTAAGCATACATCCAACAAGTAGACATGGCATAGAAGCTAGACATGGCAAGAACAACAACATAACATGCACGGATCAACAACAAAAAGCTTGGCAAAATTGCTAAACATGTTAACAATCTGCTAGGGACATTTTATAGCAAAAGTAGTGCTCGATTGACTCAAGCTAGGGTGCTCTATAAATGCAAACAAAGATATGGAAGGATAGAGCACCACAATATCTACAAAACATCCTTACTGATCATGTCCAAAAGAGACACGGATCACTAGGAAACAACATGAACATATGGCATAAAAATAATGACAGGGCAAGGACTTAGTGAAATTCTAAATCCCTGAAATCAGCATCATTGAGTAAGCTACTTTGCATGCTTGTGCTAGTCACCATAAAGATCACAAAAATACATGGCATACACCCCTGTGAAGATGGGATGGCATATTTCAAAACACATGTAGAGCTCAGGATCATAGCATGCATACATTAATCATGGCAAAAATGACAAAAGTGCATTTGCTGAAACAGATCTGAAATTATCCTCACATAGCCCTCTTCCAACAGCATTTCGGGCATCAAGATGAGCTCAAATGAAAATTATGCAGTGAGATGAAATGATGTACTCATCGAGGCGAACATTTTGATATGCTACACGCACGAATCGGAGCCACGGTGAGGAAGTTATGATGCGATGAAGATAGCAAAATAATTAGGGTTTGGGGAAGAAAGTCAACCCCAGATCTAGATCCAGATCGGGATCTCGCCGGAAACATTGTTCATCGGAGAAGGACGAGGCGGCTGGAGATGGCGGAGCTCGCGGGAGCTCCGGGACAGCGCCGACGTGCGGTGGCCGGAGCAAGGCGGGGCCGTCGAGGTCGGACGACGAGGCGGCGCAGAGCCGCGATGGCCGGACTCGAGGCCATGGCGCCTGCGGCGAGACGCCGGCAGGGCTGCTGCGCCGGCGAGGGGAGGCCGGCCGGCGCCGGCGAGCGCGGACGTCGGCGGAGGGCGCCGGTGGAGAGGCGGCGCGATGCGGGCGCCTCGGGCGGACGCGTGGGAGGAGCGGCGCTGGGCGCGGGCAGCTCGGGCCGGGCGGGCCGGCCTCGGGCCCACAGGGCCGCGGCAGCGCGGGGAGAGAAAGGACGGTGAGGTGGCAGCGCGCGATAGGCTGGCGGCGGCGGGGTGACGTGGCGCGACGTCATTGGCCGGAGCGAGGTGGAGGGCGGACATGTCCGGCGGCGGGGATTTTTGTCCGGTGGCGTGAGGTAGAGGAATGCTAGGGTTAGACCACAAATTTCGGAGGGGATCACATATTTACAGGTAGAGGGAGCTAGGAGAGTCCCAATGAGGTGCGGTTTGCGGCCACGCAATCGTGATCGAACGACCTAGATGATGGAGGAGGTTTAGGTTGGTTTTGGGCCACTTTGGAGGGGTGTTGGGCTACAACACACACGAGGCCTTTTCGGTCTCTCTCGGTTAACCGTTGGAGTATCAAACGAAGTCCAAATGATACGAAACTTGACAGGCGGTCTACCGGTAGTAAACCAAGGCCGCATGACAAGTCTCAGTCCAAACCGAAAATGTTTAACACCCGCACACGAAAAGAGGTAGAAAGGGACACCAGATGACATAGGAGCGCCGGATTGCAAAACGGACAACAAGAAAAATGCTTGGATGCATGAGACAAACACGTATGCAAATGAAATGCACATGATGACATGATATGAGATGCATGACACGCAAGCAAATACAAGGTAACAATAGCGAATAACTGAAGGACACTTGGCACATTGGTCTCGGAGCGTTACATAATATTTATTCTCTTGGGTGCCTAAGGTCATGTCCAATGCAAGAACACTTATTTAGATGCCTTTCACAAGCTTTAATACAAAAAATTATTTTAGAGGAGCCTAGACACCTAAAAGGCACTAAGAATTTACATAAACGTTGAACCTCAAATTAAGAAACAATATCATGATTTGCATTGGGCGATCATGCTTTGGATGGGAATAACTCTCGTACAAGCTAAAAGTTCTAAACATAAAAAATGAGGGACTAAGTCAAGAATAGCCTTGCTTGTTGAGTGGTCGACTCCCCATGACCAAGAGATGCGCATGACCTCAGACGGAGTGCTAATTTCTTTTCAACCTATTTTTCCTCTACCTTCCCTTGTTTCTCGCCCCCCCCATGACATTCCTCTCGCGCAAACCTTCTCCCCCCCTTGCAGCTAGCATCTCTCTCCTTCTCCTCTCTCCCCTCCAAGCTCCATCTCCGGTTTCCCACATCGTGTAGGGGGCTTTGAAGACACACAAAAATGGTGATCTCTCTATCTATCTACCTCTCTCTATATCTATCTCTCTCCCTCTCTTTATTTCTCTTTCTCTCTCTCTCTCTCTCTGATCTGGTTCTTGATCAATCAATGTGCATGGTCGGATAAATTTTAGGCGAACTCTGCATCTGGTCTGGCTGTGCATGATGACTGCAAGATCAAGTTCTCGGACTTGAAGGCGAGACGAAGCTTCAGGTTCATCGTGTTCAAGATCGATGAGAAGTCGATGGAAATCAAGGTGGAGAGGCTCGGTGAGACTAGTTACGGCTACGAAGAATTCACAAACAGCCTCCCAGCTGACGAGTGTCGCTATGCTGTCTATGACCTCGACTTCGTAACCGACGAGAACTGCCAAAAGAGCAAGATCTTCTTCTTCTCCTGGTATGGGCCTACTTATACCACGTGCGTATTCATGATTGTGATGTGTTTTCTCCCATTGCAACGTAGCCTTAGTCCACCAACTTTTGTTTTTGAACTTCTCAGTCCATCAACTTACCCGCAAAAAATAAAAACAACTTACCCTATAAGAGGCACTACAACAAATGTGCCAGACTCACGCATCATTACGGAGGTTCTACGGGCATATTCCAACTAACTAAACCAACCCCCCCCCCCCTCTGATTTTCAGGGGGTGGGCCGATTTCCCCACCCATGGCCAAGCATAAATTGCCAAGTGACTCAACCCACTAATAACTCTGTGTGTGTAGCTTTACTCAGCACTACAATCATTCCTTCTTATTTACTCGTCGTTTTGAATATCCTCAATGTCTGCTATACGATGTTTCACCATAAGTTTTCTTAATCGCATATACTGTTGTTGTAATTCTAGTAGCATAGATTTTTTTCTGCTTCTTCCTCTTTATATAAAAAACTTTTTTATCTTGGAAAATCTCTAAAAAATGCTGTTAGAAGAAGTTCTCACAGTTTCGGGTAAAAAAATCAATTAATATTAGCCAAGTATTTATAGGTAGTCCAAATATAACCATTTGTAGACAACACATCTAAAGATATATATTTTTGCAAAAAAGGAATGCTTGTATTCTAAAACAATATGTAAGTAAAGGCAGGATAAACAAATCGCTGCAAAAAATCCCCTTCAAGCAAATGCTGAAAATTTTCTACAACCACGATCTCATTACATATTAATCATTTCCAATCAAGAGGGCCTTCGATATTGCAAGAGCCGTTTGGATCAATGTCAGGGCAAAGTTTTTATGGATAGTTGTCGGTCTCATATATAGAGTGACCCTCATGT